TGCCCCCCATAGACTAATTTTTTTCTTAACCCATTTTGTGAAAGCAATGATACATGAGAAAGTTCAAGAAGAATGTTAAGAGGGCCATCAACAACTCTGCGACAGTAGCACAAATTAACTCAGGGATGAGGTCGACTCCACTGTGATTCAGAGAGAACCACCTGCCACTTGTGGCCCAGGGGCTAAAAGAGGGCTTTAAATCAGGAGGCCTGATCCCTCGAACCTCCACTGTCTTGTGCTGTGACCTTGGGTAAACTGTACAACTCCTGTCTCCCACGTGAGAAATGAGAATATCACAATTCAACACCCAGTTATTCCAAGTAGATTGTTTGTGAATCAGCAAAATATCTGCAAAGCATTTCAGTCATCCAGAAGAAAGGGTGATATTTGAAGTTTCTGCATTACTAGTGTTCTGTTCAATGTGTACCTATCATGACGGAAGACTCCTTAGATGTGCTTTGCCAAAACCGAAACAAGTTGTACCTCCTGACCCATTAATTTTATAACTATCCTGAATTATGCTCTTGGCCTCTTGGTGTGGTTTTAAACTTAGTGCCTATTTGGGAGGAAGTCCTGGATTCTGTTTGTGATATTGTTTCTTGTCCTTCTTGGAGAAAAGAATCAAACACTTGTAAATATTATTGGTATCAGCATACAGGCATTTTCTCCTGCTTTTCAGAATATTGTTAATTTTGACTTTCAAAATTAAATGGATTTTTTCCTCAACAAGAGGGAATTTCTGCCATCTAACGAATGCACAGAATAAAAGAAATACAGACTAATTTAAAATGCTATTCTATAATTTGTGCAAGTAGAGTTTTTAAGTACCCCTATTCCTTGTACCCATGCTTTGCTAACGTGTTTTTCTAAGTAGAGCAAAATTCAGTGAGTCCTTTCATTTTTCCCAGAATAATTTAATCAGGTATCAGGATAACACAGTGGTTTCTCCTTAGTAGTGACTCTGAAGAAGGCATGAGCTCTTGGAAACTGCTTTCCACTGTCCTCTACGCAGTCTAGATCAAGTCTCTTGATAGATGGGTGTATGTTGTGTCTCCACCGAGGAGACCTAAGTTACAGGCCTATCTCTGAGGTCTGCCTGAAAGTGAGGGAACCACAAATGTCCCCAGTCAACTGTTTTCCCAGAGTAGCCAGAAATGTGTCCATCAGTGAGAACCCCGTAGGTGATCTCAGGATGTACAGCTGTGCCCCGAGCAGTAGGTGTCACTATAGTCAGTGGCTTCTGCTACTCAGTACTTAAGGGGTTAATCGGGTCTGGTGTAGCAAGGAGAAAGGGGCCCATCTGTGTCCTGCAGGGTGCTGGTCTTTGTCTCCAGGGCACAGATGACCCCAGTGGAAGACCCAAGTGGGCTCCATTTTTCCCTAGGACGGGCAGAGGGATCCTTTGCCATCTGTATTTTAGACGCTAAGGCTGGCTCTTGGGTGTTATGGAGTCTGGTGGGTTGGAGTGGAGACACTGGTGAGATGATCCTTCTAACCTTTGGAAGGGAGACCTAGAACCAGGGGAAGGGGAGGATTCTATGAAGAGAAGCAGGAGAATCTGGATTAGCCTGAGGTGTTTCCTGGTTACTGCTGCTGAGCAGTTACATTTGGGCAGTGAGAGGAGGCAGAACTTCCATCAGCCTCCCTCTCAGAAATTTCCCTTGCACCATAAAGGAGGCAAAGCAAAGCAAAGCAAAAAAAAAAGAAGAAGAAAGAAAGAAAAAAAGAAAATCTCTTTCTAACAGAGCTGTACTTCTCTTTTGCCACTTCCACAAAGCTAATTTTCAACCACTAAAATGGAATTTAGGATTTAGAAATAGCTACTGTGTTGACTAATTAAAAAAAAAAAAATCCCCTGATTACATAGCCAATTGCCTTTTCAAGTACACCCAATTTTACTTTTTCCTTTCTAGTAACAACACCCTGGTGTAAAACAAAATCAAACCGAGGAAACTCACTGCAGAGTTTCAGATTCATCTCATCTCTCATTTCTTGCCCAGATAACCATCTCTCTCCCCACCCACCACCCATGCAGCAGTAGATTGTCCTTTAAAGAAAAACACGCGGAGACAATCTAGGGTGTATGCACAGACTCATTAAAATCACTCCTGTCCAGTCTCTGCTCCTCCCCGCAGCCTGCCTGTTGGCTGCTGGGCGCAGCCTGATTAAGCCCTGCTCTTGGTGGTACAATATGTTAAGCTCAGACTGCTCTTTCTCTCTCTCTCTCTCTCCCCTTCTGTCTCCCCCGGAGCGAGTGGCTCCTTTTAAACCCTCGCACACTCGCTGATCCAGGTGGCGTCGCTCGCTGCGTCTCCTGCTCGCTGTTGCTAAGTGAGAGGCACCAAATCGCACGGAAAGCTGAACCAATAGCATCCTGACCCCCATAGGCTGGTAAAAGCTGAAGAAAGAGAACCCCACAGTGCGGTCTGTGACCGGCGGGTCCTCCTCCCCCTCCCACCTTTTCTTTTGCAACAGGAAGGGGAGGTGGCAAGGGAGATGGTAGGAGGAAGAGGGAAGAAAGAATGGGGGAGGTGAATCCTAATACGCTTGGCTGTACTTGAGATAAATGCCATTTTTTTTTTCTTTGTGAAGGAAAAGGAACGGTCGCTTCCCCCGTGCAATCGCACACCAGCAGATGCGCTTCTCTCTGCCCCCAAACTGCCTGCGTTGTCAGGGCTCATCTGAATAAGATGTCTGTTGACCTGCACATCCGCTTGGCTTTTCTCTCTCCCCGCGCAGCCTGCAGTCTTTTAATCCCGCAGTTCTGCGGATCTGGGCACCCTGTTCCTTCCTCCTGTTCTCTCTCCTTTCCTTTCTGTCTTGTGACAGTCTCCTCCCATTCCTGAGTGCATTTCCTTTGAATGCAAAAATGAGCAAAGGGTATTTTATGTGTCATCTCCTGACGTCCTTAGATCATTTTAGGGAGTGGGACAAGGGCGGAGGCATATTTATAAAGGTAATTAAAAAAAAAAAAAAAAAAACAACCCATTAAGGATTCATAGTCTTTTGGCAAGGTCTGTGCTAGTACAAAGTGAAATGAGAGGCTGTTCTTAACTGGCTCACTGCCAGTGTAGACAGCCAGTGGTATAGTTGAGATTATACACAGGAAATGACCTTTCTCCTATAATTACCAGGATATTTTAGGCAACATCAGACCCGAGTTACCTGGGTAATTATGGCTTTGTAGATCTGACCTTAGAACAAAACAGATCCCGTGGAAAATGTTTGCTCTCTTTGGTGATGACAGTGTGAAGGTGCCCCTTGCCCTCGCAGCCCCATGAAGCCTAAGTTCAAGGAGACTTTCCTCCATTCTGTGTCAAGCAGGTTCCCAGCAAGTTGATCCTGACCTTTTGGAGATGGCGCTATTGTTTGGTTGCTTTGAAAAACTAATCTGCATTTATTTCTGAACCAAGGATGTTGAGGTGCTCTGTAACCTCCTGGGTTTGCTCTGTTTGGGTGGGATGTCAGGCTTAGATGGCCCACTTGCCCCAGGAAGTGTTCTCTTTGTATTTGAAATCCATTTCCTTTACTCAGGGTCACACAGAGAAGTGACTATTATTTTCATCCTCCACCTGCTTCTCACAGCCTTTATACTCATTTGGGGCGTTTTGTTTGTTTATGTGAACAAAACGAAACTGCTTTCATAAAGAAAGTATCTGCTTAAGCAAAAAGGGAAGCCCCGCTGAAAAACCTTACCCAGTGCTGAATGTCTGGGACATTTTCCTTTTTTGTCTCAAAAGTTTCTTTTTCTCATTATCACGAGAAGATAGTCAGGGCTGCCAGCTCTTGTTTATAATATTTAAAGAGAAAATTCATAGATAACCTTCAAACCTCATTTTACTTTCAGTCTCCTCTAAGTTAAACCAAAGGGATTTACAGGTCACCCAACCCCTTCGTCTACTGTGCCTATTCTGGGGGGAAGATGTTAATGACAAACTAATGCTGCAAAAATGGGCCCAGAAGTTAAGAAACAAAGACGGACAGACAGACAGACCAACAAGTCCTGTAAGTCGACTCATCCTGTGGTTGACCAGGGCTGGCTACTCTGAGGTGGTGTTCCTTGGGCTCCTCTGTCTGTGCTCAGCATGTTCTCAGGGCTAGGCACCCCCTGTGCGGGGAGAGCTAGGCCCTGGTTGGTGCCTCCCTCTCTGGGCTGCATCCCTCACGGTTTGACCAACTTCATTATTCAGATACAGGCGCTGTGCTCCAGCCAAGGAAACCTGCCAGGACCAGCTCCCCTGCTTCTCTCTTCCTGGTTTATAATTCTCCTCCTCCAAACCCCAGCTTCACACCACTCCCAACTCATTTGGCCACACACAGACCCCTCTAAGTCCCCCAGCACTTTGCCCTCGAGTGCACACTGGTCTGACATCCTTCGTGGGCCTCCTTATAAGGCCTCTGTCAGATTGCCCTGGGGACCTGCTGTGTCCTCTGCTCTGTGCCTTTGCTTACCCGTGCCCTCTGTCCAGATCGCTCCTTTCCCTCAAGCCTCTCCCGTGGATAACTTGGTCTCAGAAGTGCTCTTAAATACAATTTCCCCAGTGAACGCTCTCTCAGGGTCTCCCCCTCAGACTTTATCTTCCAGTCCTTTGAAGCACCATGGCTACCTTTTCCTTTCCCCTTGTGGAACTTTTTGCTTTCTACTTTCAGTTGAACTTGCTGCATCCTGGGTAGTACTGGTGCAGCCCAAGGAGGACTCTAGTCCCTCTCTTGTGTCCACTTTGGCATTCCTGCAAAGCCACATCAAATAAATATATAATTGCACACAGACTGCATTTGCTTTGTGAACATCACTTCGCCGGGTGCCCTTCACGGCCCAGTTGATAACCTTAAATTCCTTTTATATAGAAAATCAGAAACCGTATCCTTTCACTTTAAGTTATTCAGAGCCAGACTGGGTCTTTCTTATCTACCTATTTCCTATATTTGTCCACTTTATGTTGCTATAACAAAATGCTTGAGGTTTGGTAATTTGTTTTAAAAAAGAGGTTTATTTGGTTCACAGTTCTGAAGGTCCATCTTCTCCATCTGGTAAGGACCTCATGTTGGTGGTGTTACAGTAGTAGAAGTAGAAGCGGTCCCAGGGCACACAGGAAGCCAGGGAACTTTGGGGGTCAGGCTTGCTCATTTATAACTTGTTCCCACTAGAAAAAGTTGGAGTCTCATGAGAATGGTATCAGTCCTTTCTAAGGGCAGTGACCTCAGTGGTCTAACCATCTCCCACTAGGTCCCACCTATTAAAGGTTTCACCACCTCTAATGCAGTCACATTGGAGACCCAGCTTCCAGCAGATGACCCATAAGGGGCAGACCACAATCAAACCACAGCATTCATGAAGTCCGTAACTGCTTTGTACCCAGGGAGCACTGTTGCATTGTCACATACTGAAGCCCAGGAAACCTGAAAAGACATGTCTGTCATTTGCCAGGTTCATAAACAATGTGTGAGGAGAAGAGATGAATTTTCTGTGAACATTTTAAATTAGATCATGAGATCACAAAGAAATTCAGCTAAATATTACTGTGCTTACCATTCAGAAGAGTCTAGATGATGATACAGTAACAAGCAACTCCAAAATCTTAGTGATTTAAATTAAGAAACCAAAGTTTGCTTCTTGCTCATCTATATTGTGGATTGGTGGAGAAAGGGGGACTCTATTTATCCCGTTGCTCAGGGACTCTTTCCAATAAAACCAGCATTGTGTCCCACTCCTGGTTGTGCCAAGGAAAGAGAGCTCCAGAGGGTTTGTTTTGAGTGGATCATGTGGGCTCTAACCTCAACAGTGGGTTGATCCATCATAGGCTAATAGTTTGAATGAACTACTGGGAGGAGGAAGGAACTGCAGGCAGGTGGGGGCATGGTTGGATAAAGTAGGTCAACCCCTGGGGACTATATCTGCCTCTCACCCCTCCCTCCCTCTCCCCCCCTTCTTTCCCCTTCCCCTCCCCTCCCCCTCCCGCTGTCTCTCCCTCCCCTCCCCTTCTCTCTCTTTCCCCTCTTCCTGGATACCATGAGCTGAGTAGCTTTCCTCCACCCTCTCCTCCTGCCATGATGTTTGGCCTCACCTCAGTCCTAAGCAATGGAACTAGGTGACTATGGACTGAAATGTCTGAAATCATGAGTCCAAATTCATCTTTTCTTCCTCCAAGTTTTTCTTGTCAGATGTTTTGGTCACAGAGGTGAAAAGCCAATAAACACAATTCAGTGCTCCAACCCAGAAGTGGTGTCTGTCACTCTTATTTGCTCACAACTTATTTGTCAGAACTAGTCACATGATCCCATGTAACCACACAATATTCCAGAAAGTTGAGAGATGTTGAGAGTATATTGATTGCTGCATTCTTTTGAATTATGCTCCAGGTACCTACCTAAGGACTACTCTGAGGTTTTGACTGTTGCCATAGTCAGGATCCCAGAAAATCAGGACAGGTTTTATGATTTTACACTAAGAAATTAGAGTATACAAATGTTCCATAATAGTTGCATTCTTTTTCTTAATGAAACATTAGAAGCAGCCTAAGTGTCCAATAGTAGGGGATTCTGTAAGTTATAGTATATATAGAAAATGGAATACATATAGCCATTAAAATTATATTTTAGAATACTCATGAGATTGAAAAAATGTTGAGAGTATATATTGATTGCTGCATTCTAAAAAAGTAGGCCCTGGGAAAGGATATGCAGCAAATTCTCTTTGGAAAAAAATGCATTGAAATTGAGTGTAGAATGGTAGTGACTGGTGGTTACTAGAGGCTGGAGGCAGGAGAGGTGGTGAGGCTGGGGAGAGGTTGGCCAGCGGATACTAAGTTGCACGTAAATAGGAACAAGAGGTCCTAGCCTGCTGCTGCACAGTGAGGTGACCTCAGATAACAGTTGTGTCCTGCATATCTACAAAAACTACAAGAAGAGATTTTTGATTGTTTTCCCCATGAAGAAGTGATATATGTTAGAAGAGAAAGAAGTGTTTGGCCTAATTATTCAGTTTATATAGACATCAAAACATTACATGGGACCCCATGAATATGTGCAAGTGCTGTGTTTTATGTGTCAGTTAAAAATAAATTTAATTAGAAATATTTTTTTTTAAATGCAATAAAGCTGGAAATAAGAAGATTAACAGAGGACTTTTACTTTCTCATGGTAATATGATGGGTGGATTTTGTGCTTTTTGCCTTGCTGGGTTCTTTTTGGAGGGGGCCTGGGGGCAGTAGGTAAGCAGGAATGGCTTTCGTTGTCCATAAGAGGATATGTAAATATCTCTGGACTCCGAAATGTGTTCATTTCAAGTAGCATGTATGATATGACTTCTTTTAGGTGAATAATTTGGTATAGGAGGTCCACAAATGTGTCTCCTATGTCTATGGTGGGACGAGCCTGGTGCCAAGAGGCGAATTCTTTAGCGGTGCTCCTGTGGATGAGGAGACAGCTCACATGTGTCCGGGAATGGGCGTTCCACCATTTCTTGCCCTTTCTTCTGCCGAGGCGCTGTATAGATCTTCCATGGCATTTTGACTTGACATTTCACAGCTGCTGCAAATCCACTAAGCAGGGACTTGACACTGGCACTTTGAGGCCGCTGGTAGCACGTTGGTTTGTAAAGAGATGCTAAATTTGCTGAGATAGGGAAAAGCTGGCGTGTATTTATTTTGGGATGAGACGGACTCTTGTGAAATAGGGGCCCATCCTGAAGAACTTGTAGCACTCATTCATCTTGTGTTGTGCACGGAGCTAGAATGCCACAGCTGTCATGCGCTCTCAATGAACGATTGTCATATTGTCAATCCACAATAATACAGAACAATTTTCATTCTCCATGTTGAAGCGTTGCCATTGTAATATAATTCAGTTCATATTAACAATGCTTTGATGACAATTGCTTACCGCTCCGCCCTTCCAGCCCTCCCTCTCTGCTTTTCTTAACCAGAGGGAAATGTATTTTGACAATACATCCAGCGTTACCAGTTTTCTGCTTTTAAAACATTTTGGGCACCTAGCCCTCATCGAAAATGAAGGGAACACACCAGTCTATTTCCCCTTTCTGATTGGACTCCCTTGGGATTCCATAGAGCTTTACCTAGAAGAACTTAAACATATTTTTAGCAATTTCGTATCTATTCTCCATGAGAAAGAAACAGGTGTTATTATTGTCTTCTTACAAGAAGCACAATTAGAACTCAACTCTCTTTGCTTTAGGTGTTACCGTCTGTTTCTTAAAGAGTCTGATTTTTTTCCCCTACCATTAACAGTGCTGTCCGTTGTGTTTATGTGGATGAATTAATGGCCCTAATGAATTTATATTCGCTGATTTTCCCTGGAGGGGAAATTCATTCTGTGTATAAGTCTTCACTGATGTTCAAGGTACTTTCCTGTGGCAGTAGACTAGTTTAAACCGAATGTGAGTGTTGTCTTTGTTAGCCTTTTCCCAGGATCTAAATTGAGGTGGGCACAGTTGATATGATTAAAATACGCTGTGCATTCTTGTATCAGCTGTTCCTGGTAGATGCTGTGATTTTAAAATACAATTTTTATGGTCGCTGTTGGATGTTGGACTTTTCTGTCTTTTAGTTTTTTCATCAGCTCAGATTCTTGCCTGAAAATATGTGGCAGAACACGGGGAGAGCGAGAGTTTGAGACAGGGAGAAAGTTGGATGTCAGAAACCACCAGAAATTTTTGTAAGGTCACAAATCCCCCAGATGACTGATTTGAAAATGCTACTACGTACGGCATGGTCTTCCTGGGGCCTCTTCCTCAGCATTCCTATAAAGTAAAAAATCAGGGTCTTTGAAATAGCACACTCCTCACATATAGGAAAACAAAATAGAAACTAGGTAAGGAGAGTTCAGCCTGGCGTATAAGACTTGAACAGAGCCTTAGGTAAATAAATTTAGATTTAAATGTCTCCTATTCTGCATCTATAAATGACAACTGGAGATGTTAAGAGAGAAGAGGGGTGAGAAGGAGACGGGAAGGGAGAGATACAGTCATAAAATATGCATGTCACGTTCGATTAGTCACGTCCTTAGTGCCAGGGTGCATCTTAGAACAGTCCTGAATTTGAATAGCTTGTCTCTTTGTCCTGATAGGTAGTATTTTTTTAAAATCAGAACTGAGCCTCTGTTTCTGGCTGGCACTACATAGTCGCTAAGCTGTTCAGGGCACTATGGGACCCAAGTCTACAGGCCCCGGGGTCGTGAAGTACAAGACTTACCCAACAGCTTGGAACAGGAAGTGAAGACCCTGCCACTAACTGAAACTTCACACTAGGGCACCAGGGGCCCATGTCTCTTCTCAGGCAGGAAGCACCAGGGGGGCCCACAGGAAGCTCCACAGTCCTTATGCGGATCCCCACAACACTGTCTTGTCACATGGTCCCTGTGTGACTGGGCCAGACCTATGGGATATCACCCTTGTTTTTGACTTTGCCCCTTTGAAAAGGGGGGCTGTGGATCAGAGTGGGGCGTGGTGGGGGAGGAGCATGGGAGGCAGGGTTTAGCTGAGCCGCCCTTTGTTCACATGGCTGTTCTGTGTGGTCCCGACAAGGTCTGCCAGCGGTCCTGGAAGCCACAAGTTAGAAGCGTTTATTTTGCCTTTATTTTTGCATTTATTCACTCATTCGTCCATCCACTCACTCAGCTGATGACATGGTTAATAGTGCCGTGTCTGGAGTCATGTAGACAGTAGGATGTGAATCCCAGCTCTGCCATTTCCTGGATGTAATGTGAATACTAGTACTTCTGACTTTAGAGGAGTTTGGGCAGAATTAAATTAATTACAAATGATTCAAACGGTATTTTATGTTTAGTAAGACTTTAGTAAAGTCATCATATTTATCTCTCTCTCTCTTTTTCTTTCTTTCTTTTCGCGATGTTCTCTCTATGTTGCTCAGGCTGGCCTCAAACTCCTGGGCTCAAGGGATCCTCCTGCCTCAGCCTCCTGCACACCGTCGTACCCAGCTTGTTTGTTTATTTCCCAAATAAGAAACGAGCTTCACATAGTCTAAGATCTCTTCTAGTTAAAAGTCTCTGGTAAAATAGGCTCTCTGGATCATGGAACTGCACACGTTCCTGGTTTTTCTATATATTTATCATCATCTGGATAGTTAAAAAAATGAATATTCTCCCTGTCATTAACAGTGTGAGAGGTGAGATCACTCCTCTGGTTTTGGGAGGCAGGAGGGCTGGGTTTAAATCTAGTTCTTCAATTTTGAATAGCTGATCCTCTCTGCCTCGCCCTCCCTTCCCTTCTGTCCAGTTGATTTCCTTCCATCCTAACCACTGGCCTCCTGACTTCAGAGCCCAAGCTAGCAAAGGCGTGTTTATCCAGTGGAGTGTATGAAACAATTCCCATTCATGTCACTTCAAGACCCAGAGGTACTATAATGTACCTCTGGAAAATTGGAATATCTCACTACGCATATGTATAGGGTCGGACATGAACTCTTGTCTACATAAAAGAAAGTAAAGTTTTATTTTAAATGTCAAAAACATAGAAGTATAAAAAATATTCACAGCGTGTCTTACATTACAACGATTCCCGGGCGCCCTCCGTGAACGTGTCCTAGACTGCATGATCAGACACTTGCTGAGCAGCAATTGTAGTTCTGTTCTCTCAGGGACTTGAGTTGAATTAACTGTATTAGCTCAGATTGTCATAGCGTCTCAAGAATAGAAGGAGGGTAATATTTTATGTTTATGTAGTGGTGGAAGAAGGCTATTATTATGCATAATATATATATTTGAATCCTAGTTAAACTGTGAAGAGTTCATTCCTGACACTGATTCCCCTACTCTGGCAAGATACGGTCAGTGTGAAAGACATAAATATGGCAATTACTCTGTGTGCAATTTCACATTTCCATTGTTCACAAAATCATGATGGCCTTTTGTTAAGTACTTTACAATGTGGATTGTCGCTCTGCAGAGAGGGTGTGCTTTGAAGTTTCTGATTTCTGTGGAAGGTAATCTCAGATACAATATGGCAGACCAGCGGTAGAGGAGGAGGGCTGGTCAGGTTCGAGAGGATGTCCACCATATTACTCTTGCATGGGAGGGACTGAGTTATGGTACCTGCAGAAGCTCAGGTGGGAGGGACCCTCATCCTGCACCTGGACATGAAATCCGTCTGAGTCCTACACGGTGATTGGTGGTTGGGGAACCTCCCTCTCTGGGGTTCAGGCAAGTTTTCAGGTCTATCCCATAAGTTCAAAATATAGTTCTTAGTTTCCCTTTGTCTCCCACCCCATATCCATTTGCTGATTCAGACCATTAGGGATACCCTCAGTGAGACGATGAAGTAGAAATAGAAATGAAAATGGAAACGTGTTCCTTCCTCAAGGATCTTATAGGATGCCCTCCTTCACACGAGACCAGATCAGCTTGCTACCTAAAGGAAGCGCTAGAGTCACCCTCTCCCTCCCTTTCCCACCTTTTCTACCTGAACCTTCCTGTCTTGGCCACATTCTGGTCTGGAAGCGTGTCCACCAAGCCTCTCTGCTCTCCTTGTTCAGTTCTGTTTGTGTTCATTCCTTGTCTCCTGTTTGGCCATGCAGAGGAGTTGGTCTTTGAACTTGGTGTGTGTATTTCTTGGGGTGGGGCGGGAGGTGTACCGAGAGGTTGGCAATAGGGTGTATTCGCACTTAAAAGGTAAAAATGATGAGTGAGGTGGCATGTGTCTGTGGTCCTGGTGCTGGGGAGGCCCAGGTTCAGCCTGTAGTTCAGGGGCAGCCTGGGTGACACAGCAAGGCCCCATCTCAAGGAAAGAAAAAAGTAAGGAAGAAACATCTCCAGGTGTTTTATGGCTGTAAGGCAGCACCATGTCAGCTGGGCTCTTGTGTCTGTAACATGTGACGCTGGGACAATCCTCTGAAGAGTCCCTTTTATCAAATCCCTGCCTGGCCCTGCATTCAGGAAGTGCTGCAGCAGAATTAGAAAAGGCAGAGGTGAAGTGAGATAAGCAATGACAGTTCTTGTCCCTCATGCTGTGCCTAAAAGGTGTCAGTAGGAGGAGCAGATGCCAGAGGTAAAGTCACCTTCAAGGTCAGAAGCGTGGTGACTATGAAGATGGTGACCAGATCACTCGTGTGTGCATGGGTAAAGGTTGCCAAGCACGGTCATGGAACGCGCCTCCTGGCTGGTGGGCTGCTCAGGAGTGAGTGTGCGCACAAGGCTCCCCCTGATTGTGCCCAGGTGACCCAGCAGGCAGATAGGGAATTACAGCACCCTCAGAGATCCTTCCACTAGTGTACCTTACCAGCTTGTCCTGTCCTTTCCATCCTTCCCTCGATTCTCATCCCAAGGAAGGTCATAGCATTTCATTTAATTTGCCTTAATTTACCTTACTGTCATTTCTGTATATGCAGAGGCGGCTCTGCGTTGCCGTTGGGCTCTGGTATTTGTGCTGTCTGTAGACTAACTCTCAATCCTCATGACCACCCTGAGAGCCAGGTACTATTATTATCATCCCTATTTTATATAAGAGTAAACTGAAGTACTTGTGTTCAGTATTTTCCTAAAGTCTCACCTCTGGTTAGCAATGGAGCTGGCATTACAAACCCAGACAGTCTGTTGTTGGTGAGGGTTGTCTAAATATATATGGTCCTTCCTTGGGGCACACAGTCATTGTGACAGACCCTAGGAAGTCAGGGGAATAAACACAGAATCTTTGCCCTGCATTAAGATACACATTTAAAAGTATCACAAGTCGCGCAGGGGTCTCTCCATGGTGATGTGCTCTCCTTTCTGTTTGTTTTCAACTGTCCTGACATTTTTACCTGAAGCCTTAAGAAATGCACTGTTGCCAGCCAGCTGGGTGACCTTGGACAAGTCTTTTCATTTCACCTCACCTGTAAAAGCACGAGGTGGGATCAAATGATGCTCTAGGTCCCTTCCAGCTCTGAAGGTGCTTGGTTGTGTCTTTTGGGAATATTTTGCGTGGGCTCTTGGTGGCTCTGGAAATACAGGCCTTCTGATTCTCTTCTTCACCCATGTAGAATTTCTGAAGTGTCCTGTGATCTTTATTAATCACACAGGGACTGTGATCTCCTCAGACTTATGGAATGGCTAAGGTGCCCTCTGCAGAAGATGTCGTGGCTAATGTTCTCATTACTGACTAATTGGCTAAAGAGACTTCTCTCACATTGCATTAAGGCTGATTGATAGTTTTCTATCACCTGATGGGTGGGATGGACAGCCAAACCAATTACCACTGCAAAGAGAGCTCTGAACAGCAGAGCCATGCAGCTGAAGACAAAAGGCCCTTATAGATTATGTCTAGTCGGGGTGCCTGCTGAGAGTTTGCTAAACGAAATCATTTTCTGCAAAGTACAGTTTGACATGCCTTGAAATACGTGTACCTTAGGGTCACCCTTACACTCACTGGGCCTTGTCCTATTAAAGGAGGGTACATTTCTGGTTATGTTTCAAACAGGGATAGCCTGGATACCTAGTTCGCTTTGTGACTCACACGAGTTAGCTTTGGGCTGGGGGGAAAAACATGCACCCATTTGTTCAAAACTGGAGCGCAGCCTTCCCGTGACTCACATCACGCGGAGACATGCTCTATTTCGATGGAAGCTTGTCGACATAGGGCATTACTCAGATTCCTTTTCCTATTCGTTTTCTTTTCATGTTGCTCAGGCTGTTTAGAGGAAATAATATTCAGGTCACTTGTTTCGTCATTTAAATTGAGTCCATTTCTTGTAGCTAATGCATTAATTTATTGAAATCTCTGTTTAAAGTGCCAACTCCAGTTGTAGAGTGGAAAGATAAAGTTAAAGCGTAACTCAGGGAACTTCTTGATCACATCTTAGTCTTACTAGGGATTGAACCCAGGACCTCGCATGTTAGGCAAGTGCTGCTGAAATACACATATCTCCAGTGCCTGCCCCCGGAGCCCCATCAAAGAGTCAGAAGTCATTTTTAATGTTTCCCTCTAAGCAACTCTGAGTTTTGAGATTTTCCTGGAAATGAAAACTCAGGGTTCTTAGTGCCTTGGTTTCCCAGGAATCTACTGACTTGTGTTCTACACTCAGCAGTAGACTGAGAGATAGCAGTGCCCCCAAGCAGGACCACACTGATGACCACTGGACTCCTTAGCCTCCTGTGTTCGAGAAAGCTTCAGTCATGTTGGAGAGCCAGACTGCCAAGCTCAGGGGAATGGCTGTAACCACAGATGCGCCACAGTTGCTCTTGAGCCGTTGTCATCTCACCTTCGAGGTGTTTTCTAAAATAGGCACCCAGAGTCTGATGCGAGAAATCAGCTCTAAGAGACCAACTGGTGAGAAAAGAAATGAA